TAGATTAACTAAAAGCAAGTAAGATATTTTTAACTGTTTTCTACTTCAAAATATACCATCTAAACATATTTTCATCAAATGAACATCATTTCCTTCTCCTTCCTTATTATCCTATTATCCTATTATCCTTTGATCATTAGCGCAAATGTTGTTATAGCAAATAAATTCGACGAACTGAAAATTCTGTCAAACGATATTATACTGAGTGATGATTTTCTTAAACGTTGTTCGATTTAGTAATATTAGGTATCTATCAGAGGCGTTACAAGTGCGTTACCAGCCTTTTGGGGATTAGGAATTTGAGGATCGTTGGGGATTCAGGGATTGGGGAGATTGGGGAAGAGGAGGGTAATTGGGCCTCCGGTAACCCCACTCACACGACGAAACACAACGCAAGCGTTGCTTCACGTCGGTTTTCTGCTCGGCCGTGGTATCACTCGGTCTAGCCAGCCCGTCCGTGCTAAAGCATGGCTCTCTTGAAAAATTGAAAAATTGAACACTTTCAGATAGACATTAAAATAAAAATTAACTAGTACATTAAAATATTTTTTTAAACTCAGCAGTGAATTGGTTTAAACTATTTATTTAGTTATTTATATATTCATATTGCACAATGTACACACGGCTACACAACGAGCTTTACATAACCAGTATAAACTGAACGTTAAATGTGCGGAAAGATGATGCGACGCGACACCAGGATAAACTGGTTTTGTAGAGATTGATGTGTGGCCGTGTGTACATATAATTACATACAACTAATTCAGTACATTACCCTGTTAGGGCGCAGCAATTTAAAACGTTACAAAATGTAATGTCAGCTGAAATTTATTTATTTCTTAGAGCTATAACTATACCTATATATTAACTGGTCTATAGTTAGTACAATGCAGATGGATACTAACCTGTTTGCACGTGAAGCAGATACTGTGTGATATCGGGAGGTACATTTTTCATTACAATATTAATATTTAATTTTAAGATCTCGTCCGTCAAATATTTGAACCTGACGGGACTGTTCAGATCTGTAAGAAGAAACACTTGACCTTTACGTAAGTGCCGAGATTGTTTCTATGCTGTGCCTTTACCCAAACGCCACTTTAGCGCTTGTCTACAGAGAAAGTAGAAAACTAAATGTATGGGGATGACACTGACAAGTGTCAAAATTTACGTCAATAGGGTAGTTTCCTAAATTTTATTTTGGTGTCCGTCTGGTAGTTACATTAATTTAAAACATTAGACACGTATTTTTTCTTTTCTCACAAAATTAAATATTTTCAACGATATATTAATTTGAGATATCGTGTGACGTCACAGCGTGTCACATTTTGTAGCAAGTTATGACGTAACGACCTCCCACTCCTAAACTTAGCGCCATTTTATCTAAGTATTGCAACTTAATACGAGAAAATAAAAAAATACGTGTATAATATTTTTTCATTATCTAACCGACGGACTAATTAGATTTTTAATTTTGATACTCTGGAAACTACCCAATTCCATATAATTTAGTTTTCTATTCTACAAGTAGACAAGCGCTAATTAATGCCATTTGGCTACAGCTGCTGGATCGCTCTCCAGTCAATAGCACATTGAGAGTAGATATGTACCTGACTGAGCATGTCAGTGCAACCTATGGCTAGTTTTAAAGTGACCGCACACTGACCGTCCGCGGCGCTGACAGCCATATATCATGTTGACATTATATGGTTTTGACATATTGACATTGTATTTATTTATCACTAGTGAACCGCCCCGACTTCGCACGGGTGCAATATGCATGTATTATACACACAAACCTTCCTTAAGAATCACTCTATCTATTAAAAAAAACCGCATCAAAATCCGTTGCGTAGTTTTAAAGATCTAAGCATACATACGGACATACAGTGAAAGCGACTTTGTTTTATACTAAACATTGTAAGGAACTAGCTTCTGCCCGCGACTTCGTACGCGCAATCGCGTTTACTCCCGTTCCCGTTACATTTTCAAGATTTTTTTCTGTCATAAGAACTTTCTCCTGAGAATAACAAACAACAAAAAAAATCAGCCCAAACGGTCTAGCCGTTCTCAAGTTATGGCGTGACAACGGGAAACGGGTTTGATTCTGTATTTAAATTAATATTTTAACATTTTGATGGAAATAACATTGTTACGTCTAATTGCTGTCATGTACCAAGAATTTGTGACTGTCTGCACGCACGATGGTCAGCGCTGACAGCAACGCCGGGCCGACGCAGCGCGTGTTGCCTATACTAAGGCTGGTTATAGTGTCGCGCTGACCGCGTGCTGACCGTTAGCGCTGTCAGCCTAGCAGCTGTAGCCAAATGCAATTTAGCGCTTATCTACATGTAGAATAGAAAAGTAAATTATATGGAATTGACGTAAATTTTGACACTTGTCAGTGTCATCCCCATACATTTAATTTTCTACTCTCTTTGTAGACAAGCGCTAAAGTGGCGTTTGTCTAAAGGCACAGATGTAGTAACTTCTAGGTAGCATTTTTGAATAACGCGTGGCTATCAGCGCGCACGCTTCCCAGAAGTTCACATTTCTCGGCTGTCAGCGCCGACGGTCAGCGTGGGGTCAGCGCGACACTGAAACCAGCCTAAATACGCGCCACACTGCGCCTCAGCGCTGACAAAGTAAGCTATGAACGTTGACGGTGGGCGTGAGACTAAAACAGCCATAGTGGGTATCATTGTAGATATTATTATGTTAGAGACACACATACTTACTGCTCCATACATTAACCATCAATGTTGTAAGAAGAAATAGTTGAAAACTAATCATATTTGATAATTTCCTTCGTCTGACGACGTTCTGTAGCCGGCAGTGAAGTCAGGTCTACCTGTGGACAAAATTGTCATCGTAAACAGCAGCTCACGTAGTGTAGATGTCCAGTCAACAAGGATGTAGCGAGGTTGACTGTCCAGGCGACACACGTACTTAGGTATCGTCATGAGCTAATGTTCACATGTAAACAGCAGCTCATGTAGTGTAGATGTCCAGCCAACAAGGATGTAGCGAGGTTGACTGTCCAGGCGACACACGTACTTAGGTATCGTCATGAGGTAATGTTCACATGTAAACAGCAGCTCATGTAGTGTAGATGTCCAGTCAACAAGGATGTAGCGAGGTTGACTGTCCAGGCGACACACGTACTTAGGTATCGTGATGAGCTAATGTTCACATGTAATTAAATACTTACCTACGACGATATGTTGATTTCAAATATCGTGTGACGTCACTTTTGAGTAGGTATAAATCACACCCTAAAATGACGTAGTTACCTCCCACTCCTAAACTTTGATTCGTTTTATCTAAGTATTGTCTTCTTATACGACAAAATAAAAAATACGTGTCTAATATTTTTTCATTAGGTACCTACCTGACGGACTAATTAGATTTTTTATTGACTTCAAAAAAGGAGGAGGTTCTCAATTCGACCATATACAGGGTGACTTGTAACTCGACGTATTCCTGTCTGGAGGTGATAATACAAATGTCTAGAAAATCAGCCCCGAGGTCTCTGCTCCGAAAGTGGCTAGTTTCTGGGATATTCAAAATTTTTGGTTTTGGTGAAAAAATCCCGATCGAATTACAAAAACTTCTATAAATAAAAAAGTACTTGTTTGATTTAAGTGATTTTAGTTTTAATTTATTGTCAGTACACCATTAGACATTTATTAATACTTATACTGGTAGAAACATCATTCGTTTTAAAATAGCAAGTAAATTTGTATCAAATTTTGTTTGAGTCACTAATTTGGATAATAGAAAACTGCATTTACCTTAAAAAAATTATATTACACTAAGCGTTCAAACTATTAGAAAAACTTCGATTATTCCGAACCTGACCCGCAACCTGACCCGCAACCTGACCCGCAACCTGACCCGGTGATGGGTTAGGTTAGGAATTTTAAAAAATAATTGATATTTATTCCGAACGTAACTCTATTCCTAACCTGACCCGACGTATCGTTCCTATCATTACCCGAATTGCGAAGTAGGTAGGTTTTCCTCTCCCCAGTGTATGAAAAGATTTGAAAAGCAGTAAATGATATAGCGCTCGGCGGCCGCTGCAACGGCACCGCTCGCTGCGCTCGCTCGCCTCGCACCTTGTGAGGGTCGCAGTTCTAACCTAACCTAACATAATGTTTCGGGGTGCCCAAAATGCTACAAAATTTAAATTAAAAGCAATTACAAGTAATTTAACATTAGTTTAACTGCTTTATAGTTGAAAATAAATAAATTGTCAAATATGTATATTAAATGAATATTAGCGAAAATGTTGATATAGCAAATGACAATGCCACATCCTGACCCAGTCATACTATAATTTACAAAAAAAGTAGATTGATGAAGATAATTTTGACGAATAAGGAACCTTTTCACTATAAATCTGTTTAGTATTAAAGTTACGGTTTACAATTTCATAAAAAAAGAAGTTCAATCCCGGAAATACTTTTTTGCAATGCGCATTCTAATTGTCGATTGACTATTTGCGTTACATCATACGCATCGCTTGTACGAAACTATGAAAATAAAAAAGTAAGTAACTATAAAAAGATATCATTATACATAAAATATTATATCAAGAGTATAATTATGAATAATATTTATTAATTTATTAATAATTACACATGAAATTGCAAATAATCACGAAAATAAAAAATACACGATTACTATCATTAGTTATGATTTTTTTGTGTAACGAAACATTTAGAAGCTCTCAGAGTTTCCATTGTTTTCGCGTTATGTATCATTATTGTTTTGTGTTTTAAACAAAAACCGCAAGTTTTACAGGTTTAAGGACAAATGTTTAGGTATCGGTAATTAATACACAAAACGATGCTGGATACAGCATGCTTGTGTACATGACTTCTGTAGTATATTAGTGACGGTATATCAATATTCCGTGATAATTGTATGTGAGGGTGTTTGAATAAAAGTCAGTGTTTAACCAACTTGCGTGCGTTTCATTACATGGCGTCAGAAGTGGGATCTTTTTAACATTAATTGCGGGTTAAAAAGATATTTTAGTAACAATAAACTATTATTCTAAGTGTCGTTGTGTACAAGAATAATAAATATGGAGCACGCACGTCCTCCAGTGGAATTATCGCTCGACGGTGGTCCGGCCGCGCGGTCCGACGCGTGGCATAAATGGCGGAAACAGTTCGAGGTTTTCCTAAAAGCATCTGGAGTGAGCAAAGAGCCTAAGGAAGTTCAGGCTAGTTTGTTGGTTAACCTCATCGGATCAGCTGGTTATGAGGCTTTTACAACTTTTACGTTTGAAGGAGGTGAAAGTGAAGACGACATTCATTGCGTATTAAGGAAGTTCGATAAATATTTCGGCACGAAACCAAATATCACAGTGCGGCGGTTTAAATTCTTTTCACGCGATCAGGAAGAGGGTGAAAACATCCATCAATATGTAACCGCGTTGAGGGTATTGAGTCAGCAGTGCGAGTTCAGTGAATTGCACGAGAGCCTGTTGCGTGATAGGATTGTGTGTTAGTCTTGTGCTTAATAGTTCGCGACTAAGATCACTCAGATCAGTTCGCCGCTCCTAAACGAACTAGTTCGCTCTTTTAGTTCGTCAGCTCCCGACTCGCAGTTGGAGTTGGAATTGGAATGAATCGTATAGGAACTAGGAACGCACTGGCAGCCAAATCGCTCCCTAGTTCGTCAGCTCCCGACTC